CAACCATACTTGGAAGTCTGTATGATTTTATGCACTTCTTAGTGAAGATAATGGGTGCAAATGGCTAATCAACAACTCTTGATAGTTTGATATGGATAACTAATATATTTTATTCCTTTACATACAAAAGTCGATGTAGGCCTACTAAATGAGGATGATTAATTTTTTTTAACTTTATGTGCGTGTGTTTACATACATATAATCCTCCTCGAAAATTATAAACACCCAGTGACCATCTCCCCATCCCCACCCCATGTGTGAAGGAAAAATTCAACTACTTCAGTAAGTTCTCGAATTCCATGTACTAAATTCATATGCTTTTAAAATTCTCAAAATTGAATCAGCATGTTGTATTCATGCTAGGACTTTAAAACTAGGATGATTTTGTACTGATATTGCCATCCATAGTCCTCCATTTCTTCAAAATTCAAGTAAAAAAAAAAGAAAAAGGGTTTTATCTGGTTTAGATTAGTTGTCTCTGTGGTTCAATGCATTTATTTAACTTTTCAGACAAATGTATCTATTTTCATATCTGACAACAACAACAACAACAAAAAAACATACCTTCAAAGAATAGTGTCCCTACTGAACACGATAGTTCCAATTAACTTGGTAATCATTGCATTACAAAGTGCACTAAATAAGTTTTTTTTTTTTTTTTTTAATATATATAACATTATTAAATTTAGAGAAAAATAACAGAGATAACGAACTTTAGTAAGTGTCTAAAATATAAAACGTCATATCTCCATTCTTTGTTTACATGAACTTGGTACATCCCAACTCTCATAATTTTTGTGTGATTCAAATGTTGCTTTCGTTAGAGCCTCGGAGCCCTGAAGCCATGAAAATGGCCCATTTTTTATTTTTGACCTCTATAAAAAATATATATATTTTTTAAAGCTGAAAAAGAAAGAAAGAAAGAAAGAAAACAACAGACTAAATCAGTACTCTATATCAACCAGTCCCCAGCCCAAGAAAACGGGAAATTCAAAAATCGGTCATTTACACGGCCTTAGCTTAGGTTAGATCTAACACATGTATTTTGGGGGGATTAGTCAGGAAAAAACTGTGGGAGTTGGGATGTACCGAAGAAGTAGAAGAAAAAAAGACAATTCTTTTCAACTTATTTTGGGGCGCTCCCCCCCGATAGGGGAGCAAGGTTAAAATCATATATGAGACAAAGCACAATTCTATACTCTATATCATCCAATAAGTATAAATGAGTTATCTCCAACCAATTTTTCTTTTAAGATGAAATGAGTAGGGAAAGGTGGTCATTTAAAGGACCTAAAAACACTATTCCTTTATTGGAAATTCCTACTGCTTTGACTTGACTTTGCTTTACGTTTTTATATATCTCAACATTTGTTGGAGGGGAAGAGAGTCCTTCTAAAAACTTACGGACAACATTTATACTTTTTCTAAATGAACAATGAAGCTACAACTACTACTATGAGAAAAAAGATATATATATATCCAATGCTACAGAGGATTTAACCTACTTTCTTCTAAGCACATCTCACTCACACTGGCCTGGTTTTCGTGGTTGGTTCTGCTTGTGAGAACATCCGGGAGAACGCCAGGTGTAACTTTTCGTCTGAACTGAATAGGAGGGCGCACAGTTGGTTCAAGCTGTTGGCTCAGGCCTACATTGCCTGGAAGTGGCAGTCGGTGGTCACTTGGGCCAAATATCCCAGCTCTTATGTCTAACCAGGTATGAAGTGGCTCTGAAGAGACAGTATGAGGTTTTTGAGTAAAAAGATGATGACTAATTTCATAAGACTTCAAAAAAATCTTTGTATATCAATCAGAGTCAATGCTAAAAGACTATCATACCTGAAAAAAAAAAGAAACAAATTGAGCTTGTTTCTTCATGCTTCATTATAAACAGGAAAAATGTACAAATGTTAATCACATATACCTCCAGCAACCTCCTGAACATCAGTTGTTTCTTTAGGGTCTTTCTGTCCTTGGCTTGAGAATTGCCTTTTCGATAAGCAGAATGTTTGTAAATTGCGTGCATACAAAACTATACCTCGCTCTCCTGAACACAGCAACTGAAAGGGAAATTTATATCACATTATATATATAGTATATATGAGCATATCTTCAAATCATGTTACTGGTATGCGAAAACAAATTACTCATGCAGGGGAGGGGGGGTTATTGGTAAACACATACCCTTTACACACTTGCAATTTTGTGCATTCATATATGCATGCAAGCATGCTGGCCCACAAACACACACACTCACTCACTCAGGTCATTTCAAAGCATACTCAACTTGACAAAACTGCAAGCACTCGACCCTATGATTTGGATGACATGACCATCATGTCATGAAAAATTTGGCTTGAGGGGCAGATGAAATGATGCCATCTGGGAAAATTTGACTGTGGGCTAGGGTGGTGTGAACTTGCTGTCATGAGTATTTCGGCTGAAGCCTGGGATGATTGGAATGATTTACGTTGAGTGGACAAAGCTCTTGGAGGGTGGATAGATTTATTTGGCCATCGTGAAGTAAGTCACAGGTTGTATTAAAGAAAACTGAATATTATGAAAAAAGACAAAATTGTCAGTTACTTATTGTTATTATTACTGCACTGAGTTACGGACTCCCTAGAGAGATGATATGAAGGTTGTACTTGGGAAACAGTCTATTATCATCTGGAGAAAGTAAATAAAATGACAAATATAGACATTGGAAAATGTCCAAAAAACTAAAAATGCTTATGTAGAAAAAAGTAAATAACATTGCAAAGGGGAGGCATGGAGTCTTGTCACTGCACACTAGTGTTCATGTGTGCCCAGCCTACAACCACACACCAGTCACAGTGGCCACTCAAGTAAGCCTAATGCCTTCATTGCCACATGGTGGCAATGAAGCATCTGGATCCAATAGATTAATTATTTATTTGAGTATAAATTCATCCATTCATTTATTCTTCCTTACTTTCAATTAGTGCACTTTTTTCTTTTTTTCTGATTAGGCCTAATATTTCATGCTCTTAAGCAAATTATTCCCAATAGAGAAACAAAACTATATAAAATCACTACAATTATAAGCTTTTTGCTATCAATCTACAAATGCTTTAAAGACATTTTAACACAGTGAAATTCTAAGTATTGCCCATCAGTTATTCACTAATATGCAGGATTTAAGTTTACATTGAACCTAGAAAAAAGTAAGGGATCACACAAAGAAGAGCATGTATTCCTCCCTCAGCTTTCAAATCTAAAACTTCTAGTGGTTAATAACTTGACTAAGTTTGGTCTGATTACATTTTGGGGGAATAAATCTACATTGATTGCCAAGGATGTACATTCTCTGTACACTAGTTTACACTAGTGATAATACCTTATCATCATTATACAAAATATAATACATAAAGCACCATGAAAATAATTGTTCCATATGGGTCAAAATATATAATTCAAGTGTTTGCTAGGTATGCTAAGCTACATGAAAACTTGAAGATATACTCACTCTTGCTGCCATTCCTAACAGGAAAACTTGAGAAGTCTTCAAAGAATATTCAAATTCTCCTTCCTTGAGTGTACCTACTACCCCTCTACGATCAAGTCCAGCAAAGTCAATCTGGGAAGTAGAGAACATTACATCTTCATCTACTTCACAATACTACCCATTTCCTTTTTTAAACATTATAAGACTATCATTGGTTTCTGATATCAAAAATAAGATTATCAATCAAAGTCAGACTCTTCACTATCAGCATACATACCACCAAAACAAAATTGAACATCAAAGCTATAGCATGGATAATCAATTTTAGTATATAATTCTGATAAACATACATATAAAAACATTGTTACAGACCTTGCCTTGTGAAATTATACGTTCTGATTCCAAGTTTTTCTTTTCCATTTGTAATAATTAGCCTTCATATAACATATCACCTTTACTTAATAATTACAACAATCATAAACCATGACTACTGTCTATATAACAGAAGGCTATAATAATTCTTTTGATTCAGGAGAAAAGCATCAAATATCCAGCAAAAATTATGATATGGAATATCTACTTCTTCTACAGACTTCATGTCAGATATATACCCAGTACTCATAAATAACCAGCACAATACACTACAGGGGCTCTATATGATGGTTTCCTTATTGCCATGTGTATCCTGTGTTGATAAATTTGTTTCAGTAGCAAGAGCAGATATTCAATACTAATTAAAAGAAATTGGAGACATAATAAGTGACATTATATGCTAGTGAATACATAATACTTCATTACATATGCAGCTCTGAGAATTTTGCATGGAATTTCAAAATGCTTTGTGCAAAATTTCGGAATCAGAGTATTATACGACTTGTGCCGGGTGTCGCACTTATGTGACACCCGGAATACAGACCATGGCTAGCTGTCCCACTGGTGTGATACTAGAATAGAGCTTGTGCTCTGATTTTGTTGCCCAAGGCAGGCAGCACATGGGCAAGTTCCTAGACTGACCCACGCACTGATTTTGATACCACCTGGAAATGGGGATTATCGCCCTCCAAATGGACTGTTGTGGGTGGGTTATAAATTCTACTGTTCACCAATGAATAAAACATATAATGCATTTCATTTCAAAACAACAAAAACACACATTGGTATGCAATGAAAAACACAATACCGTGTTGATAATGAAGGACGATTCCGAAACTGTTGTCTCACTTTCCTCAATAAATCTAGTTTGTGCATTGTGGGTTTTTCTTACATATTGGTATATAATAGTTTCTTGTCTGACTTGACCCATAAAACAAATAATTAAAACATACACTCACTCACTCTCACTCTGTTATTTCTTTTAGTGAAGGTTCCATGATTAAAACTGTTTAGGTTTGAAGAGATGAACAAAAAATTCCACTTACATAGTATGTTAACATCCCTAAAATGCCACATTAATCGTGCACATACATATATATTTATTCTGTATATTAATAGATGTCAAGGTTGATATATATAAAAAGAGGTGTGTGTGTGT